AAATGAGGGGTTCGATTGGAGGAAAAGGAGAGGAGGAGAAAAATAGTGTTAGTTGAGTGAGATTCTATTTTGTTATATTGATTATAATGTAATACTTTTATATCTCTTTTCAATAAATATTGTGTTTTTCTCGCGTTAGGAGTATCGGTGGGGATTCCTATGAGTGAAAGATAAGAACCCAAAGGGGGGGGGGATTAAAATAAATAAATAGAAATACGGGAATATATATATAATATAAAAAGGACGACTTAAAGAATTAAATAGAAATAAAATTGAATAGATGAATGATTAATATACTAATCTATCATACTCACTCGATTTCTTTAGCGAAAGAGGATAAGAAGACAGGAGAGAAAGAAAGAGGGGTAATCTGTATAGTATCTCTAAAGAAAGAGAGGAAGCATGTTCTGTCATGCTGATACCAAAGCTACATAGAATTTCCGTGTAGGTTTGTCCTTTATTTCTATCCAAGGTATCACTGATATGCCTCCTTATATCTTCACACAGCTCCTCTCATGTATGTATATATAGATAGGTATAAAAATAGTCTCCAGATGTGGATTGGCATTTGGCGTTTTGATTTATTGTTCCATTCTTGGTAGAGATAGATGTATAAAGTAATGTAGGTAGATAGGTGTATTCGGTGCTGTAGGTCGAATCGTGTTTGTGCGTGTAGGTGTGCTTCAAATGATAAAGTTTCGCATTTGTGCTGTCGCTGTAGATGAAGAAGTAGGATGATGATTAGCCAATGCCTTCGCAAAGTATCGTGTGGGGATTCAGAGACAGGTACTTCACGGCTGGAGCATGTAGAGATGTTGGAGGATATTATATAGCGAATGTTTGGTCATTTGTGATGATATTAAACGAGAACTGTGAGAATAGGTGATAAGAAATGAATAACTAGATGCGAGAGACCTAGCTGCGAGAGACGGGATTTATGGAATGAATATAAGATGAAGGCATAATAGAAATGAGGTGATTAGATGAACCTCCTCAAACTCCCGCCAATTTTCTCCATCGCAGACTTTGAAGTTGATGCATGGAAAGGAGGAAAGATTGGGTTTCAAGGAAGAATGATTGTGTGTGGTCGGTGGCTGAGGTGGCTCATGAAGCCTGATAAAGTCGATAGACACTCAAGAACGACCTTGGAGTCAACAGCATTGAAAGCATCACAATTCAATGAGAACTTTCTCGGGGACAAGCTACGACCCTGACCTCTGACGTACTCAGAATCATCATAATTGCCCTGAGCAATGCGATGGATATTCTCATCGCGATTAAGGGGGGCAGGCAACACTCGTCAATGCCAACATAGATGACCCATTCCTAGATGATGATCATCACGATAATAACAGTACACAATTACGGAACATCCAAACTTCCCGTATCAGTTGCAGCTGCAGCTGCAGTTGTATATTCCAATTACTTTACACAACAATATCAACTCTTTATCGAATGATATCTGCATCATATCAACGGATACTTCCGTAACATCTTGCGGTGCAAATACAATGACCCAACGTGAGTGGACTTGGTCGTCGCAAAGTGGGTCACATGATAGAAAATCGAGATTGAGATTTCCAAGATTCTCGACTTACGTCACAAGGATTTCTTGCTGCACAAGGTGTAGGCCAGGGCTATGTACTCCGTTACCCATACATGCAGATAAATTAATGAATGGAAGATATTAAGTCTCGTCTCTCGACGCACAGTCTGGTCTGTGAATATGTGGCACCTCTTCATCCTAGAGGTAGATCATTGAATTGTATCATACCAACCCCTATGAAAGATGTTTAGAGGCGATGCATGTAATCATGCCATCATTGTTCTGTTTTCGTCTGACATGTGGTGACTTTTGATGTCATCAGCTCGAAGGTTGGTGAAGTAATGATGATGAAATGGCGAGGATGAGCTGCAGCCTACATTGCTGTAGGTGGTGAGCACTGTAAGGTAATTGAAAAGTGGCAACACGAGCTGCATTTGCAGTGGGCAGTTTAATGGTCAGATTACTTTAATCTGATAACCTGAATGTGACCCATGAAACAACATGTATACCTATAACATTCCTCATTGATGTAATTTGAATGGGATGCAAGACAGGAAGAATAGGCTCAAAGCTAGATCTGTCAAGAATTTAAGCCCCAATGACATAGTTTGCCACAGCAGCCCAGCGGAATCCAACAAGGGATTTGATCCGTTGCCCTGTCCCCTCATTTTCGTGGGAAGTAATGCGGGAGTATTTCGTTCGAATATTATCAGCGCCCGTAGATTGTTTCAACTGAATGAACGTTCTCTCGGATAAAATGTGAAATCCCAACTGATGACCGTGAGTGGACGCAAGAGGCTACTGAAAAAGGAGACCTCAAAAAGACCGGGAGAGGGTGTAGATCAATTATTCAACGGTGCAACACATGTAGCCTCGTAGGGAAAAGGACGTTTGTGCTATGGCAAACATGACGCGCTTATTGAGAAAGACATCGAAGATTCGAAAGCATTGCAGCGATGCAGCGATGCCATAGGAGAAGCTCCAGTATACAAAAGTGGGGAGAATATGGATGACCAGCAGCTTGTACAGAAGCAATTACGGAGACACCTCCATGGAAGATACCCGCAAGCGAGGGACAAAAGTAACCTTACAGTACATCATAGTTGTCTCGGCCCTTGAATGATTTGCATCCCAAAGGATTTCGTTACAATAGAAAGCAACCAATGCAATACTATTCTTGCAAGTATGGGGTAACCAAACGGGAAATCGCGGTTTCAAAATCTTTGAGAGCATTACTGACCGGAGGATAATACCTATCCCCCTTTCACTATTCAGAGCCGGATCTTCTTTATCATCGTACCGATATTCGGGCGAATGAAGCTGGCCGAGTCGAATTGAATGAATTGAACGGATATATGTAGGTCGTGAATCGTTTGGTTACAATTGTCCTTGACCCGCCTGTATAGTTTCCTCTCTCTATTTGCCCCGAACCCTTGAAGACGGATGCATGTGTAAATCAAGTGAATAATTTGATGATTATCAATAACCTAGTCGGCCCCTTCTTGGCGAAATGACAAAAGTGTACCGAAATAGAGGGTGACTGGGTAAAAGTCTACCTAGTGGTTGGAAGCCGAACAGACTTGAGGTCAGTCGAGCAAAAGTCAGTAGTTAGTAGTTGTAAGTTGCAAGTTGCAGGCAGTGCGTGCGTGCTTGATTGATGGATGATGATGATGATGATGATGATGACGATGATGATGAAAATGATATAATGATCGGCGGGGGCGGCCGCACAAACCAACCATAACCTGCATAGAATTTGATGACATCAGCAAGTAAGGTTACACAATTCGACGTAATTATCCATGACCCTCCATTAATTCTGATGATGTCGTGATCTGATTGGTTGAATTAACGAGAATGATGTGTCTATCCGATAATGTGCCCTTCTCCCACTTTCCGGTACTTGGGAGGAATCCGAGTGTGACACTTGAATTGAACTGTGAACATGACATCGGTTTCACCTAGAGAATGGAACGGGGACCGAGACAATGACATCTACCTGGGAGTCTAGGTACTTACAGACTCAATCTACGTATCTAGATTCTAGATGTCTTTGAGTCTAATTTCTCTCCATAATTCTCCATAATGATGGGTCTTTGCGTACCTTGATCTCTTCTAGCCCAGATAGGTATACTTTGAAAATATGCGTCTTGACTCTGGACTCTCTCATCTTGGTGGTCTGGTCTGGCTTTCGACTTTGGCTGCTTTGCTTGTATGTAAGGTTATGTATGTACAGATCATCAGAGGAATCAGCTTGGTAGGGATTTTCACTATGACATCTCTGATCAACATCTCACAAGTCTGGGGTAAAATAATTTGATGATCTTTTTGTGAATGCCCTGCAGAGTATTCTCCTATTCTTTTTCCCCTGGGACGAGTCACACACCCAATGACGATGAAAGAATGTTGATGTGCCTGTGTTTGGTTGAATTCTCCCGGGGAAGTTGATATCGATATTGTTTAGGTCGTAAAATTTGAGTTATTTGTTTTGTAATTTGTGTTATTGCTTATTTGTCTTTTCAAATTAAAATCGTTAAAGTTTGTTTTTAGAAAGTTTACTGCGATGTCATGGGTTCCATGTTGGCAAGACATTGGGAATATGGATTTTAGACTCTCGTAAATGGGATTTTGCAAAATCGGGAGTTGGGAACTACCCAGTTCCTCACGACTCGGTGAAAGTTTATCTACCGCACTAGACGACGACGCTTGATTGAGCAGAATTCTTCGTTAGTTTGTATTACTCGAGTAATTGCAGTCTAGCAGATCTCTAGATTAGATTATCTACCTAGTGAGTTCATACATGAGATAGTTTTCTCAAGTACGTGCTAGCCAGGTTGGTAACGATTGTGTATTCTTTATCATCTTCGTTTCAATAACCTCATAGGTTGAGAACTGGCCAACGCTTCCCGTCCACGCATGACGCTTGTCTCATGTCACGATCTGCAGGGTCTTGCCGGATTTGGAAGTTGACCATATTTTTTAACCGTCTGGAGCTCTGACCTTGGGCTCACTACCATAACTCAGTAGATACTTGGATTGGATTGGATGATAAGCAAGTATGATGCATAATGAATTCAAGGATCTCTTCATCGACAGCCCAAAATCCCACACTAAGAACTTTTAGCTCCGTTCTCCTGTTTTTCAAATTTCAGGGTCTAACAGTTCACTAGTCCACTAGTCCACTAGTCCACTAATCTACTAGTCAGGGTAATAGGCTGCTAGGTTGTCTATCTGTGATCTAAGTTTGAGGGGAAACAGAATGTATATATTTGCTTGAGACCGCATGATATTTCTTTTCCATATCAAACAATCATCCAGCTTCACATCTACACACAATCAAAGCAAGCAATCAAACGTTCAAGAACGATAGCCACAAGTCTTTCAACACAATCAAACAACCCAAAACTTCAAATTCAAGTCTACCATCTTCAAAATCTCCATTCTCACATACAAAATGTCTTCCTCAACAGCCTCATATCCTTCCAACGGCTACATGTCCCACGAAGAGCATGAAAGCTCTCCAGATGCCTTCTCTCTCTTTGACTACGCCAGATCCATGCACGAGCACACCAGAAAACAAATGGAAGCTGCCGACAAATCCGCACGCCGAAGAAGTGCCAACTCCATGGCTTCAAACACACACGCCACTCTGAGAACCGGCCACGATGCCACCACTTCCATGGATAGCAGTAGCAGTAGCAGTGGCAGCTCAGCCTCTGAATCGCGATAAAGAGTTTTTTCTATTCAAGAAGTTTAATTCAAACATGCATGGGGGGAGAAGATATCTCAGGACATTGTTTTGCTGGAAGAACAATGTAATGAGATGAGTCTGGTGCATGCAATATTTCACGACGTCCGAAACGATTTTCCTCTGGTGTCGGTAACTTTACATACATAACGTATACGAGAATACTCCTACGGGATAGGCATTGGAAGGGGTTTTTGGGAAAATAGCATTTATATACGACAATGCGGCGTTTTAATACATGGGATTTTGGGATATATCTTGTATGAATAGTATTTATTTGAGCGAGGGAGTTGGGAGGTGTGATGGGTGGCTGTGTGATGATGTCTGATAACGACGATATTTTTGAGGAGAGATTATCTTGAATGATCTGCTAGGAATTCAGTCATTGTCGACTGGTGATAGGGAGACGCTTGATGAACTAGTTGATTAATATCATATCAATATTATATCTTCATCCACATACAATTTGCATTTTCGAGTGAGACTTAAGCTGGTGACAATTTACATTTTCAATAATAAAATCCCCAAAATCCATCATTTTCCCATTTCTTTTCCCCTATTAATTACTCTGTCACCACCTCCATCACACCCCGCTTACATAATCACCCTGTCCCATGACTTTTCCATTCCAACCCAGCCACATATAAACAGCGCCACACTGTTTCATCTAAGACACCCGTGGACCTGGGCATCCATGGATCGAGGTCGGTACATAAAAACACAGCCGCACCAACATCTGCCTTGATTTCTACACTGGGCATAAAGAAAACCATACCAATTCTTGATTTTGACGTAGAGTTTTTGGGATGATAGGTAGACAGGTCACAGGTAGACAGTTATAATGAGAGGTTGGGATGATGCGAGGTTTTGATGGGGTGGGGTCTTTGGATTATGTGGGGATGAATGAAAGCTGAGAGGAAGGCTGGGATGGATGGAATTTAAGGTTAAGAGTGAGTGAGTGAAAGTTGAATGAATGTATGATTTGTTGCACCATTTTTTATACCGGAATCTTCTTTATCCCGGATTTGATTGGTCGAATTTTTCATTCCGGTATGGATAGCCAAGTTCTACTGTATGTAGTTTTGATGTTGGGATTGGGGCTGATTTAGAAGTTCATGTGATAGGTATTTCTGCGTCTCGTGATCTTGGTCTTGGAAATTTAAATAGATGATGGGATGGATGGATGGATGGATGGATGAGGCGATGAGTAATCAATTGTAGGTTACGAGTAAAGATTTATGAATGGGGGATGGGAGTGACCGAGTGGTTTTTATTCTCTCAGAGGATGTGAGGCTGTGAGATTCTTGAAAGAGGGGAGTTAAATGATATACATACATTTCTTTTCGTCTGGAATTTGGATAGAGATGTATACCTAGTATCTTCTTCCTCTTCCTGTGATTTTCCTCTTGATCGCTATTCTACACTGGTGCGCTTGCGACATCGTTCGTGTACATTTTTATTTTCATAACTTTCTCCTTGTTGATTCTCTTGTTCAGGATAGATTCCTCTGTTTCTAACCCGGGTTTTACACAGTGATTCTCTTTTTCTGCAATCTAATACTAATACCTACTTGCTACATCTCCAGCGCCGTGTTGTTAGACCCTGATGCTACCTCTCAAGTCATATCATCACAGGTAGTAAACGCTTTACCACTATCCTTTCAACAATCCTTAACTTTATGGAGAGGTGTAGTGACGAGATTACATACAGAATGAGTCTAGGATGATACTCTAAGTCCTCGAAAGCATACCCTTTGAGATAATCGCGGCCTCTATTTTTGCTTCGAGTCGTTCGCGATTGGTATTTTCTGTTAGGACTTTAACAATCTCGGAATACTGATTCAAAATCTTATGATATTCGGCTAGTGCTTCTACAGTTATCATTACCCCCGATGTATATGTTTATTGAGAAGTTTGTGAGTGGAGTAATGGTGATGAATATTTGATCTATATACATAGACACATACCTACTATGTATACATAGACACATACATACCGAGTAGTATTGGCAGAGTAGCCATTTCCATTCCACATATATCATTTCTGCAGAGTTTAAGTCGAGAAAGCTAGCTAGCTGCTAGTTGGATGGGGAATTATACGTCCCCCATTACCCCGCAAGGTTGGTACATCAATACCTACTCCTTGATAATACCTACGCGATGAATGATCTGATGCCTGCAGATGAGAAAAATCTATTGCATCTTCCCAGCTATCATGAAGGAGTCATTAACAGCCAAATAAAATTGACGAGGTAATCTTCATGCGAATCTGATCTCTGGAAAGCAACAAGAGGCGTGTAGTATGCAGATGGAACACCGCTATTTAGCTAATAGTTGTTGAAGATTCTTTTGCAGAACCACTGCTGGATCGCTATATAAAGCTGGTAGGCGTGATGAAAATACACGTGTTAGATATTAGGTCAGGTGGAGAGTTGGTAGGATTGAATCACCAAGATACATATATCTATGGTAATCAAGAAGATAAAAATCAATAGGATTATATTCATTCACAAGAGATTGTGGAACACATGTAACTTAGCAACTCCATAGCGCATGCAGATACTGAAAGAATTGATTATCTGTCGCAAAAGTGATTGGTATTTTGTGCGTCGTCGAAATCCTACAAGATCTCATTCTACAACTATAAACCTCGAAGGATACGCTAGCAGAAGAGAGGGTGATTTATATTGAGCAGGCTACCATCGCTAGCAAAACGTCTGGCAATTTTCCCAAAAGATTATTTGATACGCCACCACCATTTCCAACCATTCATTCACTAATAAACCCCTCCATCCCTCCATCCCACCACCACCCTCTCTCACCCGACCCCTCTTTCAAAGAAAGCCCCACAAAAAAATCCTACTCCCCAACCTCAACTACAAAAGATATACAGACTCACTTATTACCATATCCATCAAGTATATACAGGATTGACTGTATACTAAATGCGAATGCACATCTTCCCATCCATCACTCGCCGAGCATCCTAAGGATTCGCTCGAACTGGACTTCAAGTTCCCCTCGCCCGACACCTTTGAGAAAACGCCTCGAATGTTACGTGAGTGTTTTCTTGTGGGCATGATCGATCATATTACCATTGCGCCACGGAGGTGTCTGCTTCACTGGATATTGTAGGGGGACAGTTCGGGGATTATAAAGGTGAGCGAAAATGGTGCCAGGGGTTGGAATATTCACTCTGAGGGTATGGATATTTCCGTGGCGATATGATACTTGGGGGTAGAAGAAACACCATCGGTCATGAGTGATGAAAAGGGTTATGTGAGCTTCATTTGAATTGATGGACTTTCTTGAACTGAGAAGAGATGAACAGATAGAAATTAGTACCAATATCCAGATTTCACGCTGCGATATCTTCAAGCCTCCGCGGCAAGAATCGTACCCATAAATTTCCAACCTCAACAACCATATAATCCTTCCATTCGCGTTCAAAAAGTACATCATCATGCGAGTGACCAAACTGGATATCAAATGTGCGGACTATACGCGCAATGACCAAGCGTAGTTCATGGAGCGCCAGGGTTTTGCCTACACACTTTGTATTTGTAAGTTTTATTTCATACCCGCCGCTAAAAATTCATAACGAGGGAAGTGTATAAATAAAACGCTCGAGCTGAGGATTCACCGTATCATAGAGACCTCAACTTACCGAATGAACACCATAACCAAAGGGTGTATACGCCCTTCTATCTCTCACCAACTCGGGTCTTTCACGTGTCCATCGTTCCGGAATAAAACTTTTCCCCTGAGCAAAATATCGCTCATCTGTCATGAGTACCAAATGCGACATCTCAACTTGTACATTACCTGGAATGTGCACGCCTCCAACCTCGATGCCTTGTGGATAAGTCGTTGCATGCGGGCCAGATGGAATGGGATTATATAATCGTAAAACTTCGTCGACAACCGCGTTAAGGTATTCAAGATTCCTGATAGAATCGATAGTTATTTCCTTGTCTCTACCCGTGACTGAGCATAGTTCATCAATTTCTCTTTGAAGTTTAGAAAGTATTCGTGGCTCCTTCGCAAGCGCCCTCAACGCCTGTGTCAATGTTGAAGATGTGGTATCTGATCCAGCTATGATGATTAAATTGGCATTAGAGTTCAACTCTTTTTGAGTAAACTTCTCACCACTACCTGAATCTGCGGACAATAAGTAGGAGAAGACATCTCGATAGGTTGAACCAAGTTCTTGTCGTTCCATAAGCATTGTTTCGCCTTTCTCGCGGAACATTCGAACATCGGAGGTTTCGGGCATGTACGTAAGAAGCTGTGCTAGATTTCGTAGGGATCCAATAATCTGTTTGTATGTTAATTGGGGTGATATATAGGCGGTAGTTACCCACGACAGCGAATGTCATATACTTATGGATATATGACATATATGAGTTGTCTCCTGTACCATCTTGTAGGCCAGCATGTTTTGAGAAACTCAAATCTGCCATGCTTGGAATAATTAGACTCTATGAGATATAATTTAACAGTACTAGGGTTTGATATACATATCGAAAGTAAGATCGTCCATTGCCTTTGACACGTTCACCTCTTTCCCGTTTGCTTCGAGCAATATTTGTATCATTTTATCCACATGCATTTCCACCCTCGTATTATACTCCTTGATAGCACTGCTTACGAAGCCCCTCTCCCTGCACAAATTTAGAATCGAACTAGATACAAAATCAAAGACTTACCAGATTCTTCTCCACTGTCAAAGTTCGTCAGCATAGAGTATCGCTTGTTCATATGATGTATAAAACCATAGAGTATCAAAACCACTTACAAGAGTGTGTTTTCCATAGTCTCTGGTCGTATTTAAATTGAGCTCTCCATTAATAGCTCCAACCTCATAAAATGTACCTCTCGGGTATTTCCCCGAAAATACCTTGGTTATCGCATCCGCATTGATGATGGAAACTTCGTTAGGACCTATTCTAACGACATCACTTTCGTATTTCTTATGGAGAGCCTCAATAGTATGGGATGTACGGCCGAGTCTGTATTCGTTAGCCATGAATAATTTCGTGAGAGCGAAACGTGCTGGTCCGGGAATGTGAGATAAAGGAGAGAAGTATAGCCGACAAAATGCAGTAAGAATAATCGCAGTAAGGAGAAAGGTTGCGTTCGAAGTAAAAATATGAATGATGACTTGAAAGATTCCGGTGCTTGTAAATGTAAGGTATAAGAAGAGAACGCAATTCGATGAGAGATAGATGGAGATAACTTTTATGGTGGATGGTTCGGGAATGGGAGAAAGAAGAACTTGGCATGCGACAGCTGCCATCATCGTTGTGAAGGTCTCCGCCATTGTCATTGTAAATGGTGATTAGTAGTGAGTGGAAGTTAAGTATAGGAGATGACTCGAGATAAATTGCTGGCATGGGAGGATTGAAGCTCTTTTACTTGGAGATTCTCTTGAGGTGAGGTCAAGCTGAGGTTACAATCCTGTAATGAAACACCATTGTCAGCCCACGGCAAGCTCGTTACACTGCAGAAGCGCCTATGTGTCTTATCATGTGCCAAAAGAAACAAATAACAGAGAAATCGAAAGGCTCTTTAAAATACTAGGTAGTATATAGATAGATGAAGAAACGCATACAGAAGTTCCACTAAGATCCCGTAATATCGACATTTCTCGATCTTTGCATCTTCTCAGTCGATAATGCTTGATGGCACTCCAAAATCTAAGCCCAAAACTGTGAAGTATAATCTGATAGTAAAGTCTAAATCGGTGCATTGAGAAGGACTTGGATGGAAAAGTTCATTCTCCACATATGTATGGCGATAAAAAATGAATCTTGAAAGGTAAGAACATTGTGGTTCGAACAAGACATCAGAAGGAAGGTGGCTGCCGACAAGGGTTTATTGTACGTAACATTGCTATGTGCGATGCTCCTTACAACTTGTAATATACACAAGTAGCATGATAGAAAATCGTTTCACTCTTCTCGATCGACTTAGATCCGGCAAACTGATATATAATTAAGGTTAAATGCCTAAGATTCTTCAGTACCAGAGATTAAATTCAATAATCTAGCACAAAATCGAAACCGAAGAATTACTACAGTATGGCGCATAGCATCGACACCGACCATTCACCTGTGTCCTTCTCACGGCTTCCAAGGGACCTTCGATATTTGATATGGAGGTTCGCAATTCCAGACTCGAGAATTGTATTCTTAAAAAAGCATGCGATTTCACGTTGTGAGCACGCCATGGTTAGAGTACGCTCAGATTTGGCTGTACCGGATAGATGCAAAGACGGTGCTCGCCCTGGTTCATCCAAAATTCTTTGTACCGGTATGGATGACATACTACCGCAAGACATCAAAGATTTGGAAGAAGTTCGGGCACGCATCAAGCATGATGATCAATGTGGTTTCTTGTCAAATGCACAAATTCCAAACTTGTTGCTTGTTTGCAGGGAATCATACAACTTCACCATCATAAAATATAATCGCGCGTTTCCGTCTGTTGGAGCTTTTGCTGAGACCTACTTCGATTACCAAAGAGACATATTATTACTTTTTGGGGAACAAATAGTATGTGTGTGCGGCTGGCAATGTCGTGAACCTATGACATCATACGAGGCATGTAAAATTCGTCATATTGCTTTTGAACATGAACCCATGTTAAAAGGGTCCGCATTTCATCAAAACGATAAGATAGCCAACAATTCCAAGCTTGCTAGACTATTATGTACGTTCTGCAATGTGAAAAGTTTAACGATTGTGATTGAAGACTATCGAAGTGACGATCACGAGAATGGCATAGCCGAGTCTCAGAGAGAAAGTGAGCTGGTATTCTTCGACCCAGTGAACATCGGTGAATCTCTGCGCATGTTGAGTTCACCTGTAACTAAACGCAGTGATCTTTATGGAGTATTGATTCCTGAGCATTCTTCACGAAATACATTAGACCTCGATAAGGAACTTCTCTTCGATCTTCAATCAGAAGACGAAGCAAAAGGCTTAATGTGGAATATGCCGAAAATCAGATGGACAAATCTAACGACTACCACGTTCAAAAGGAGATTCAAAAAGTTGCTAGAAGAATACGAGCTACGTACTGGCGTGACCTGTTACAGAATTGGAGAAAGTGACATTCTTTATCTGTATTCCGAGATCAACAGATGAATTCATTTTGTCAGGCAGACTCATTATTTTGAGTATTTTCAACCTTTGGAATGAACTCAAAAATTGAGATATTGCTATTGGCGGTCTGCTATCCGGAACTGTTGGAAACCCTGGTCTGATGTTTATTTGGGTGTCTGCATCCTACGGGCCGGGCGTGATATGAACGAAATCACCTTTGAATACTACGATCTTTTCTGTGCTATTATTTTGGGGAAGGGGAAGAGAAAGGGTTAGGGTTATCACTATACCTGTTATGAATAAGTTCTAAGGACCTTATATTCGTATTTTTGAAGAAGATAAACTCATAGAGTATATCTGGCGTTTGTCGGAGCCTTGTGTCACTTTACCGTATCGAAAGATTATTATGATTAAACTTCCCAAGACCCCTTGGAGATGAAACTAACAGTGGCGAAGCAGTATATCATGTTGAAGATTTGCAGGAACAGGCGAAAAGGGGCTGTTAAGAGCATCGTTAAATAATAACTATTGAACACTTGATTCGCGTTCGAGGGATCAAGTGTGGGGAGTACGGTTACCAATGTGAATGGGCAACTAAGCTCATTTTCTTGTGTAACTACAGAGAATCATAGAGTATAACGTCTCTTACTTACACAACGTACTGCATTGCTTGACACATTTTGCTTTGAATATGCGGAGAAGGGGGTAATGGGCGTACTTGATTTTTTAACTCGTTGTGGACTATGGTTACACTATAGCTGTACGAGCAAGAACGACATGCCATGAAGCAAGGTAAGGCTGATTCATGGCAAAATGCTACACCAATGCGGAAACTTGCAGTTCAACACCAAATGAGGGAAGTCTATCCCGAGACTAGAATCTTGGCCAGTAAATTCTTCTTATGCTTCGGCATGGTGTTTATGAGTATCCGAAGTCGGGTAGTCTGGTACAGCGAGTGTGGATGAAGTCATTAAGGCCACCGTGATCTTTCTTTGTTGCTTTTCTCTCTACACTCATCACACATCCTTAAACTTATATATTGAAGAACTTTTGAGAGAAGAGTTTGAGCGTTCCTCCATGGCATTACTTGGCACGACAGTGCAGGCTCGCCACGAGCAGCTGGGTGATCATTTGCGGGCGAATAAAACACGCCGGGTTTGCATTGTTGGCCTGATAATTAGCTGGATATTTGGCTCCGTGACCTTCGCGATTGGTGTATATTTTTATCCTAATCGCGGACGTTCTGGCAATCCAGGATATGACCTCAGTGGAATAGTCGGCGAGATTGTTCCTCTCATTGTTAATATGATAGTAACGCTTCTCAATGAAAGCATGGGTTATGTTCATAGTACATCGCTCAGGTGGTGTTTGCAACGGGAGGGACGACACGGTTTCAACTCCAACCTTCGCCTCTTTTCAAGCTCAAAATTTTCCAAGTCCAATTCAGTAAGTTCTGAATCATAATTTTCATGGTGATGATTGTATCTCGAGCCTGAATTTACTACTTCTCTACAGACGTATGCCAAAGGGTAGTGTTAATCGTTGCTTAGTGGTACTCTAACGCCACCTTCTTACTTTGTGTCATCCTATCTTATACATCAATATCGTCCTACTTCAACGCAATGGACGAAGATAGCACGATGAGTATTGTATCCCTTTTGATACTCGGATCAAGCATTCTTGTCCAAGCAGGACTCGCCACTTGGTCGTTCATCATGACCAAAATACCGACCTGGAGTTCCAGCCCACTCGATGCGACTTTTACCTGCCTCGAAGCATCAACCACACACCCTTTGTATAGGAACCAAAAGCGGTGCATGAAATCCGTCCATGATCGTCACACGATTTCGGACCCTTGCATCCCAAAGAAAAAACAAGGATCTATGTTGACTGTCCATAGTGACGTGAAATGGGTATTGGGATTGATGTGGGCAATTGTACCACTCGGATTATGTTGGTTCGGGGTCGTGCTTCATTTAGGTTACCCCAACACTTTAGCACAATGCTCCTGGAATCTACTGCCTTCTGTAGAAAATTTTCTCTGCGTAAAATATGCTATGTGGACCAATGACGGCACTAGTTACCAAGTGCACCTTGCGACCATCCTAATGGTATCAGCTTTCCAAGCCCCACTTACTATCGGGCTTCACTGTGCAGAACTCCTTTGTAATCTATCTCGCGATGAGAGAATTTTCCGCCAGGCAACATTTTCAAGAGGCACTAACCCACGCTACAACAGCATATCAGCGGCATTGAAGAGTTGGGAGACGATATTATTGTCCCTGTTCAAGGCCTTCATTCATTGGATGTTCGGTTTGAGCGTCAACAGTTACATGTCACCTGGACTAATCATGTTTACCATACAAATATTCTATTGCAACCATCTGTGCCTTGCTACTTGCGCTTTTTGCAACCTACATCAGTCTTCGACGACCATGTGGCCCACTACCAGCAACATACGGACACCTTCAGACAATAGCTGACTTGGTAGACGAATGGCAAGGAGATTCTCCAATGTTCTGGGGGCATAAGGTGGATGGATCGAATGGGGAGCCAAATTTTGCGGGCATGGGGAGTGATCCTATGAGAAAAATTAAGATGAATGAACTTTATGGATGAGTGGAACGGAACGAATGACATTGGTGGTTAGAAGAGGGGATTGAGAACACCCGGGGCTATCAAATTTAAGGAAAATGATATGAGGCTGAATTACACTTGAAATATGTAATATAAAAGAAAACTGCACATCGACACGACTTCATTTATTGCGAGGCTCAAATCTTCAATTTTTAGATTCACAGGATTGTAGGCTATTAATCTCCGCCTTCTTTCACAAGTATCAAAATTCTAGTTGGACAAGGTTGGTGGCACAAAAAGCGCCACGCATTGTAACACGTGAGAGAATTCCAGTATAGCCTTCTGTCGATATTAGGACACATGATATCCCTCGCACCCCGCAGTTGCCTCTTGTTCTGACATAGCCTTATTGAGCTCAACTGCTTTTCCCACTGATCACTCGTGCTTCTCATACGCAAAGAAGCCTAATACTTCAATTCAACTATAAAACTAGAGAACCGGCTCTTCACATCACTATAGAGAACACTCAATATCAAGTACACGAAGGATTCCCAGCCAAGCACCATCGGTGGAGAGAATGGAGGCACTTGCTGCTCTCAGCCTTGCGGGCAACGTTATGCAATTTGTAGATTTTTCTAGCAAGATAATATCCGAAGCTCGTGCAATCGAGAAGAATGGAGAATCATCATCCATTGCTGATCTCCAGCGTTTCGCACTAAGCTCTACGAAGCACGCAAGGATTATCAGATCTCGTCTTCAAGCTAGCAGCTACATAAGACCTCTCAGTGAAGAGAATCAGGTTAGAGCCTCAAAAACTTTTCAGTCATTCGCTGACTCCAGGACTGTAGCATCTTGTCGATTTGGCAGCAGACTGCGAACAAGCTGGACACGAGTTCGCAGTTTATTTGTCCACATTTTCGACTTCTCGAACGGCAAGAAATTTCCTACACATTCTGAAAGACACTATCAGAATTCGATGGCGACACGAAGCAATTGTTGCTTTTGTCGAGAAGCTTGAGAGCTTCCAGAGCGCATTGACACTTGCAGCAATACTCGCTTTTCAATCCAATGTCGACGATCGCAACGATGATATCGTATTGCACATGAAGGAATTGCAGAAGTCAAGCGACAAAAATAGCGCTGAAAGCATTAGACAAAACGAGCAGATCAAAGATACACTGATGGCTATGCAGTCACATTCAGCCTCGAATCCAGTAATACAGCAAAAGTTACAGGATTGCCTGGGTAAACTCAGCTCGCTGCATCGATCTACACCGCAAAATCAGACCATACTGAAATGGTTGAACTTTCGTCAAATGGCTTGGAGATACGAAGAGATATGCGCCGCTTATCAAGAGACGTTTCAATGGATCTTCAGACCGCCGGGTTTGGCCGATTCATGGGATGACTTTGGTAACTACTTGAGCGGAGAGGGCATTGATGCACCTTATTTCATCAACGGAAAGGCTGGAAGCGGAAAATCAACCCTTCTCAGGTTTATTGTCGACAATGAGCAAACGTATAACAAGTTGGCTCTCTGGGCGCCGCAGAACCAGCTCCTTGCGCTTCACTTTTTCTTCTGGAATTTGGGTACACCATTACAGAAGAGTCGGACTGGAATGCTCCGAGCTATCCTTCATGAGGCACTCTCCAAGCACCCCGAGCTCATTCCATCAACGCTTCCAGATATATACAGCAACTGGAAGGATTCTTATGTGAATGATGAACCGACCTTTGTGGAGATGAAAAGAGCACTACAACTCTTTGTAGAGAAAGCTTCAAAATTTCTTAAGATATGCATATTCATTGACGGTCTAGAAGAGCTGGCCGGCGATCATAAGGAGTTGGCGCAATTTATTCATTCGCTTACTGGAACGAATGTCAAGGTCGTGGTGTCCAGCCGGTCCATCAATCCAAGTGTCAACACCTTTCGGGGCTGTCCAACCTTGAGATTGCAAGATCTCACAAGACACGATATGGATCAGTACATCAGGGGGAATCTGGTGGACCACCAAGCTATGTGTCAAATGTCAAAGTTCGATCCACAAGGAGCAGGAAGTCTGGTTTCGGAGATCAAATTGAAGGCTGAAGGCGTCTTTCTCTGGGTTCGCTTAGTTGTACGACTTCTCATAGATGGTCTTGAAGCTGGCGATTCGATTATGGACTTGCAAGCAAAGCTTCAATCACTTCCTAGGGACCTGAAAACCCTGTATCGAAGAATGTTGTCCAGAACTCTTCCGGAGTACCAGGTACAAGCATCTGAAATACTGCAGATTTTTCATGTCTGGAATACATACACCTCGCATCAGCCACTCGGCGTGGTCACTTTTGCATTTGCTATGCAGCCCTTGAACGAGGCATTCACCCGCCCAGTCGCCCCTCTAAACTTGGATAACTACACATGGCTGTACAACTGTACAGAAGCACGAATTCAAAGCCGATGTTGTGGTCTTCTCGAAATTGGGAGAGATTGTGGTCCCACAAACGCTGCTTTGGATTGGGCCTCTGGCGATGATAATGACGGTTCGGTTGTGAGATATATGCATCGGACAGTTGGTGAATTTCTTGTTTGCGGCGAGGTGTGGGAAGAGATGAGTGAGATGACACAAAACTCTGGATTCAATCCAGCTTTGAGTCTATCATCAGCTTGTATTTCTATGCTCAAGTCGGCGAGTACCATCACTACCGCAAGAGCATCGAGGATACTGTTTGGTAATCTAATCAACCTTCTTGGTTCGTCCTTTTGCTTTGAGAATCGAGCCTTGCCTGAGTATATGCAATGTATGGAACATTCGATGAGCAAATATCAGGACCTCTTCAGCCATCTTTTTGGCAGAGAAGTCACCCGGGCAGAAAATTGGCTGCAATACTTCCGCTCTAATATCAGGAGAGCTATTAGCGATCATAATGCAGAACCATTTAAAATAAAGGGCAAGATTTCTTACAAAGTTAGCAAGCTTAGACGGAAGGCACCTCCTGGAGCCCCTTTCCATCGTTCACAAAGAGGTACTCATAACTTTGTAACAGCTCTTGTGTCTTCTACAGATAATACAGTCACTCAGAACGAAGATCTCGTTCTTAGTGGAAAAGGTTTTTGGAATGCACCTTCTATCCTTGAATCTCGCCAGTTTTCAACCTCTTCGCATGAGTGACCTTGTAATTTAGACTTGAAAACTAGTCTATTGTTCGCTCGTTTTGAATCGAGCCACAGTTATTCTTGTATCAGCAACAGTCTTCATCCTATGTAGGAACGCATAACGGAAGACACAATAGACAAAAACAGCGAAATACAAATGGAATGTACGACTATAACCAGATTAGAAGTGTGGCATGAGAAATGCCCAAAAATCAAGACAGAAACGCCGAAAACGATTCAAATTTCAAAATAAAACGTTACTTTAGGGCCTAGAACCACGAGAGAAACAACAGCAAGTAGAGGAACATCTCCAGCCGACACTAATGGCAATAGCCGTGAATCGACGAGACACCATCGCCGCACCAGCTCTCCTCCAAAGCTTAAGCTCTAGGCCTAGAACCCTCCTTTCTCCTTCCCCCTTCTCCCCTCGCAACCAAATCCCCGCGACTCCAGCGGCGCAGCGGCGCAATCACGTTTCAAACCTTCAGACAGAAACCCACAGCCCGGAATACGTTTCGAATTCGATCCGATCCGACTCATCTGTATCATGACCCCAGTTCAATTGTTTCTATTATAGAATCAACTCATTCGTAAACCATGAAGAATTGCGATGAACTTTCAAAGCGTATTTTTCATCTGTTGTAGTGTAGTGTATTTTTAATTTTGGGGGTTGAAGAAACATTGGCGATTGAAAGATTTTGTATTACATAATATGAAGATCATCGCGAAGCATTCCCAATTGGGTATTAGGTTACGATACAATACGGTTTGTTTGTGTTCCCGGATATCATCATGTTGTATACACACAGTACATGTTGCGATGTACATACCTATCTAGGTAATACAGACCGGCGAATACAACTCGGCTTATTTTCAAGCCACAATATATCATGTGTGGATGGTTTAGCCCGAAGCCTCGTGATATTTCCGCACAGAGTACGTAACCTACGTGCTACGTACAGCAGGTAGTGTTACCGCTATTTCACTACCTCGAGACTACATGCCATATACCAAGTAGACCAGACAAGGTGGGGTAAGGATACTAGCAGTGGTTTCCGTGATTTTGATGAATGGGATACCGAGTATGGAGTAGTTAGTGGTCAGCTTGAAGTCTTGGGGCCCAGAAGCTGGATGGAAGGATTCTTCCGTGAGCTTATCATTTGGTCATTTGGATGATAAGCATAGTTAGTTGGCCATGTAACGGATAACGGAAGACAAGACTTTCTTGGTTGGTATGAGTCCGAGTTATCCATATAGATGGAGATAACGGGAATTCTGAAGGCGGGAAAGATGGGGTTTGAGCCGTGTGTGTTTGGAGGAGGTAGTGTTTCTAGGACGATAGCTAGATATGAGAGTACGGATTAGATGTGGAAGGATACACACATTCTGTAGATATTGATCGAGCAAGTACCTAGGTAGAGATACCAATTAGTCTCCCCTCCAATATCATCCTCGTCAATTTTCCAACCTTCACAATTGTCAATTTGCCAACTCGGAAATCACTTACATACATGCATTCAGATCGACAGCGTTAATTATCACTCTACAGCACATCAATCAGCCCCGAACGACAACCCTTGAAAGGCTGCCGATCTATTACCCCAAACCGTGAAAATTATTGAAATCTGACAACAGGGTCGGCTAGACAGAGTAATTGAGCACACGACTGAGCACACGACTGAGTACGTAGAGTACGTACGCGACCACGAATCTAACGTAGTTTTTTATATTTAAGAAATGATTAGACTTTTAACGTTAACTGGTGGTAGATGCTTGGCATATTTAGTGGTGGCATTGAGATGCACTGTCGAGTCTTAAGTCTTGACTCGTGAGGCTCAAATGGGGTTAAAATGGAATATGATGTACAGGTGTACCTTTTTGATGGGATGAAGATAATTAATTGACTTAGATGCTCCTTGAACATCGGCTTTAGCTTTCCCGTTTCCATGTAAGATCTTACATTCACGAATCTACTTCAAACTCCAACATTGGCTGAATATAAAAAGCAAAAAAAAACTTTTCACGTCGTGGCCTCTAACGTTTCAACAAGTCGTACTCAAATCAATTTGCATCCTGACTTTTCCCGTAATACAATCTTGCAGCCAAAATACACAAGGGAGTGTTTATCCATCCAATTCATCTGTCGTGGAACGTCCTTATTATCCGAATTGGTATAGAGATGACGCGTACGAAATATTATTTATGATTTGTTGACTCCATGTTCCTTTCTCTTATTAGCGAGTTACATCTCTCTTTTTATCTATCTAGGCTATCTAGGTAATTAATGGGTCTGTGTTTCCGTGAACCCCTGAATAGGTGACGAACTTTGGTCAACTCAGCCATGGCATGATGAAACTTTTGTGTTTGGAGATGTTGTCTATGAAATTGAGAGAGTGAGAGAGAGAGAGAGAGAGAGAGAGAGGGAGAGAGACAGTAATGTAGAGAAAGAAAGGACTGTTAACGGTTAGTTGAGATGGTTTTGATGTTATATGTGGCTTATGATCTAAATGGGCTATTAGCTAACAGCTAAAGCAACCTTGGAAAGAAGGATTAACACGTATATGGTATTAGCGCCGGCAGGTAGCCAAGCCCTGGGCTGACAAGAAAACATGGCATTGGCCTGGTCATGGAACAAGTTATCGGTTACTCGGGCTGAACCTTGTCAAGAGCTTTACAAGGCTTAGAGTTCTATATCCTCATCTCTATCAATACAATCCATATCTACCTAGTAGGCAGATAAGTATGGACATGAATATTTGGACGAGGAACATCTATTGATCTAGGTAATACTTCGTAGAAACAATCACCATGAACTAGGTAGTCAGAATGGCATCAGATCTAATCATCTAATCCGCATTGAAAAGATTTCCATCTATTTAAAATAAGCCCTCGTGTATCAAACAGCTCAAGTACTTAAAAAAGCTTGTCTACGTAATCCATCTGAAATATCCTAATTGCACTTGCTTCACTTCGATCACTTGCCGCGTAGAACTAACCACCGATTGGCTGAAAACACTCACAAATCCAATGACTTCTCCAACGCTACCGCGGCTACATGACATTTCATATTGCTTGCATCCCAACCCATCTAATCAATCCATGACCGGGATTCATAATAATAAATCTTCTCGCTATCAACGAGAACTGGAAGGAAAGAAATGGGATAAAGTCCGAAAATTCGTTGTTTAATAGATCAGATACCACCACTCCTTTCCTTTTCTAGATCATGATCAGAGTGAAATGTCCACAAAACTCCTTTCGTCCCCACTCATACTTTTCTGATTCTACGTATTTGGTTTCTTGATTTGTTCTCGTCCTTTTCGTTGCCCTCTATCGCTTCCTCTCTCTCACTCTCTCACCACTCCCACTGAAATTGGTATCCCCAACCTCTCCAACGACCGAACGAGTACTTGCGCCGCAACAATTTCATCATCTTGCATTGCTGCATGCATACAACTTTGACACAATACCAAGCTCCTATCGATTCTTACAGCGCTCACCTCCAAAAGGTTTACCTCGTACTTCGCCTCGTATTCGATTTCATTTGAGTTGTCTCTTGGCTGCTTGGATCTTCTCTTGGCATTATTCGATCTCGGAAGTGAGGCACACGAGCATACTCCTGGCTTATTATATCAAGCACTTTCCCGCTGGTATCCAGCAAGGTATATTTGATTCAGCTATTGAAACCTTTTCTGCTTGAATAATTTGGGGAATTGGGTTAATTGGAAAGCGCGCGATTGTTTTCTGGAAAGCTTGTTCACTTTATTTTTTTCATATTCGCGAGTTTTGTGAAGAATTGAAGGGAGAAGGGAAAGACACAGGCGAAGACCAAAAATTCACTCGAAAATACCACAATGCGCCCTCCGACTTTTCTCGGCGCCATCGCCACAACATCTATTCTCCTCAACTCATTTACACACGCTTCCCCACGACCAAACGAAGAGCCATCCGCAGCGGTCGAAGAGAGAGAGCCCGCTTTCCCACCCAAAGTCAAGACTGAACACCACGATACAAAGTACTTCCACGAGCCAGGTGGAAACGATATATTAGGACATTACGACATACGGTATTTCCAAGGAAACCCAGTCACCTATGAAGAGAAGCAAGATTCTCTTCAATATCTAATTAAATCCTATCTTACCACTTTCCGCGAGAGAAATATCGAGACATGGATTGCGCATGGGACGTTACTAGGTTGGTGGTGGAATGGCAAAATTATGCCATGGGATTGGGACTTGGACACGCAGGTTTCGGCTGCTACGTTGGCTTGGTTGGGAGAGAATATGAACATGACGATGCATAATTATACAGGGAGAGCGGATGATGGAACGACTGTTACGAGAGAATATTTGTTGGATATCAATCCTAATCATGTGGAGAGAGTGAGGGGTGATGGCATGAATGTTATTGATGCGAGATGGATTGATGTGAGGAATGGATTGTTCATTGATATCACTGGACTTGCAGAAGTAAACCCCAGTACACAGCCAGGAATCTGGAGCTGTAAGAATTATCATCGTTACAGGACGAGAGATATCTATCCATTGAGAGAGACCGAGTTTGAGGGCGTGCCAGCTCTTGTACCATATAGTTTTGATAGGGTACTTACGGATGAGTATAGTCCGAGAGCTCTAACCAAGACTTTACATGAGGGGTAAGTTTTTTTTTCCCTTTCATCCCAACCCCAATATACCAAAAGTACAAAACTAACATCCCCAAAGCCACAGATGGAACCCCGAACAAAAAGAATGGATTCCCGAACCCCAAATCAATATCCACGAAAGTGGTCTTGAAACCCGAGATGAAAGCCACCCACACATGCCTCGAAGTATCCAATCTGGTGGTAGTCGCAAGGCGGGATTGAGAAATCTTTTGAACGTTTTGTGATTCTGGCGGGACTTTTCGTTCTATGAATAATTTTTCGGAATCTTGAAACCAGGAGGAGAAGTCTATGAAAAAAGAAGGGGGGAGAAAGAATAAAGATAGACAGAGGAAGGAATTGCAGATGAGAAAATGATACCCACACAACCTTTGAACATACAGCATAGTCAACATCATCACGCGAGCACATATTGGCATTGGCATTTTCAAAATCATGCGAAATGGAGTACTGAGTACCTGCAGGGCATGAATGCAAAGGGCATTTTAATAGGCGTATTGGAGTGCGATTCGTCTTTTTCTGTGGATGATTTTTTTTATTGTTGTATACATAGGTACCGATTGGAACCTGGTCGATGAGATGAGGGGAGAGTGTATATCAGATGAGATGATACGAGACGAGATGAGATAAGATGAGCGGAGACACATACTCACTCCCAGTGCAGGATTTTGTGGATACATCGGGATGCAAAAGTCATTCTGTCCAATTCTTCTTACACGAACGACTAGATAGATGGAACCGGCGATGGAAATAATAGGTTGGAAGAGAAGAAAGACATGAGATTCGTGGAGTTCTCTGTCGAGCTGGAATAAATGCAGGGGAGGAAAGACGGGGTCGATTATCGGGAGACTGTGTCTCTTGGGTTATATGTGTGGAGAGGAGAATTGGAGTGGCTGGTGCATATATATGGATCGTATATGGATATCTAGATATATTGTATACAGATCAGATTACAATGGATCGAATCAGATTTTCTGAAGCAGATTAACGTGTGCAGTAACTTTGGGTTAATATAATGGATGCTGTGATTGATTTGATAGAAATATCAGTGAGTGATATAAATAGGAGTAGCTGAGGATGTTGGTTGGAGACTACCTCAATTGTTTGTTACAGTATGTATGTATGTGGACGGTATCTATAATCCACTGGTCGACATGGCATCTGTACCAGGAGATTAACAGCTAACTACTGGGTTAGCAGAAGCAGATCTATCTGATGTTCAATGAGGAGGCACAGGATGTATGTGTGAAGATGGATGGAAACAGATTTGAGGCGGGAGGGAAGTGATGTTGTGTTGAGTATTGGGTTGGGTTGGGATTGAGGTGATGTGTATAGATGGATTTGGACAGGGAAGGGAAGGGAAGGGAGGGGTGGGGGTGTGTGTGATGGGTCGCTTGGGTATGATGGGTGTGGTTTGGGGATTATGGTTTGTGGGGTTTGGATTGGTTGGGATGTTGGAGTGCGGATGGGGAGTATGGATGGGGAGTATGGAGTGATGGGGTTGAAAAGGGGAAGAAGCGTGGAAGCGAGAAGGGGCTGAGGTATATTGTTGTAAGCATGAATTTTGGGTTGTGATAAGGGGGAGAATGTGAAGGGGTTTGAGAAGGAAAGGTATATGGGATATAGTGGGAATAGGATGGGCAGAGGTGGAGTACTGAGTGGGCGTAGATGAGAAAGGGAAGAAAGAGGAGAAAAGGGAAGCTTTGAAGAGTGGATGGATGGTAGGAGCTGATGTTTCTACATATAGTGCTTGGGCATAAGGACGGAGAACGGGGCAAAATAGAAATGTTTGGTGTAGAGAATTAAGGGGGAGGGATACTGTTGAATGGATAGTATCAAGAAATGATTGGCATATTGACGTAGTGGTGTTATATGACTTGTCGAAAGAATTTGCAATCTCAACATACGCTTGTACAAGACGCCTACGAATCAAATATAAGTATACACAAGTTACCAACACCTCGCTCCGATGACCTATGCTAAATAATCCGAATCCCAAAATGTAAACCGAACCAATTCCATCCTCATGTCAGACTCACAAGAGTTTTCTTTCCCGTGATAATATCGCTATATTTCCTTCCCACGACTCCTCAAAGTATTGTGAATATGAACAGTCTAGTTTTCATTATACTTTCGAACATGATGTTACCATCCTCTTTCTTTATATTCCAGTGAACAAGTTGGAGACATCAGAGCCTGATATACACATCCACACAATCCAACCTCCACTCTCTCTTCCCCAATAAATTTCTCAGCCATTCGACTCCGATACCAGTCCATTCTTTGCTGGCCAAGCTCTTCTTCGCATCTTCTAATGCTGTGCCTGCTAATGCTATTGCGGTCTTATTGAAAGCACCGGCGTACATTAAAACATTGTCTATAGTTTCGTTTGAGAGGGCTGTTTGATTGTTTATTTCTGCGGATGAATACGACGAGGAACGAGGTAAAAACCAGTTACTACTGAAGTCGAAGAAACAGTGATCGGCCCAGTGACAGGAGGAGGCGAAGAGAATGAGTAGGAGAATTGAACAGTAAACGCAGGGTCGGTTGAGAAAGTAGGTGCAGATGAAGAAGAGGAAGATGAAGATTGGAGATGCATTTGTGGGAATGAAGAGGAGGGGAAGCCAACTATTTCACGAGAGTTAGTTTTGTTGATAAAATAATCATCTAAATGTCCATTGATATTGTATTTGTTGATTTAGGCTCGCCCCAAATGGGATTGTATGAGTTCATGGCGTACCTTCTAAGACAAAACATTGTGACAGGACGTTAAATACGCAGTGAGATTTTGAACAACTGGGACCAAGGGTCGTTATTGTATGAAATTATGCGATCATCCGTTGAGGGCATGCAATGGCCCTTGGAATATGCAAACAGAATGTGATAAAGAATCACAGTATGTACCAAGTACTTAGTGCGATCGACAGGGGAAGGGTGGGGTCCTCTCCCGTTGGTGTATTGTGCGATGTGAAAAGGAAGATCCTCTTGTAATACTCGATAGTATGACTATAGCGATATCTTTGGAATTATAACGATTGGATTTGTTCAGTATATGAGAATTTGTATTCATGACGGTATACAAGTATCTCCTCGCACGATAAAATAAGATGGATGAACAATTGGTCGGTTTAGATAAGCGAACGATCCTTGACGCATCAGCGTCTATCATCCAATTATATCACTGAAACCACAACTTTATACGCGGGAAGAGCCAGGATATAGTCCAAGCTTCACTATCAATTATTTCCAAGGTTACCTACTTTACGCGCTCTAAGGTTTACCTCACAAATTCGCCTCACACCTGATCCGATCCTTCCTCACCTTTATCAAACAAAACTCTACATACCTACCTCTCTACCTCTACCTCCACCCTTACCTTTACCCTCACCCGTAACCTCACATCTTCAACCCAAAATCTCTTCCATAACTTACATCAACAAATCCTTCATTTGGTACTTCAACCTCGAAGCTTTCAATACCTTTGTTATTGAGGACAGTTTCTGCCTTGTCTCTATTTACAAGATTAGAGCTGTTGTCGATCGCTGAAAAAAAGTTATCGGCTATCTTCTTTTTCATCTTTGTTTCTTCAACAAATCCTTTCGTTACATACTCAAAACTTTCTTCTCGATATTGATCGATTCAATTTAATTTTCATTCAAAATATTACGCCTTCAGCGCGCTTCATCTTTTCAAAATGTCTGGATATCCGACAGGTTCTGGTGGTAATGATGGCCGTGGTTTGGATTCTCTATTTGCTCAGCTTCGACAACAGCAAAATCAATCGCAGCAACCGCAGCAGCAGGCTGCTCCTGTTCATTTAGAGCCAAGTTATAATTATTACAACAACAATAATCACAATAACAGCGGCTTCTTTGGTCAAAATCAACAATTGCCTCCTCATTATCAACAACCTTCTGTTTCCTCGCCACTTCCCACCCCTCCTGTACATGGTCAACAGCCTCATCATAGTTCTTCTATCATGAGTCCTGTTGATACCCCACATGCAGAACCCCGTCTTGCCAACCCAGTTGGTACCTCAACCAACGATAATCGTACTTCAAGCTTACTTAACCTGCTGAAGTTCAGCCAACCTTCTGCTAGCAAGTCAAATCATCAAGCAGCACCGATCGGCACACCACTTCCTCCATCTCGCGAGTCGTCCATGAGCTTCGGTGGAAACTCCGATGTTCTTGGTCAAGTCAGCGCTGGTAATCGTGGTGGTCAAGATCTTCTCGCTGCACTCATGGGAGGAGCACAACAGAAGCCAGTTTCTACCCCGCAAATGACTCAAACAAGTCCGCAATTTGCCAATGCTTCCCAACCCCAGTCGAGCTTTGCAGCTGCGACTTCTCCACCTGCCGATACGCAGGCTTATCTCCTTCGTCTTCTCAATCAACCAAAGCCACCTCAAACTGGCAATGAATCTCCACATTTGAATACTGAGAAGGCATTCTCACCTCAAAGCAAAGCAAACAGCTCTTTGGACGATGTTGGTGATTTGGCACAAACTCTGGAAGACACGAAGATTGACATGGACATGAGTATCATGGGATCTTCCGCTTTCGAGGGCAAGATTGATAGACCTCTCAGCAAGGAAAATATCACTCCTCAGCCAAGAAACAACCAGGGATTGTTCACCTATGTTAATCCTTTCGAGGAATTGGCAGCCTCGTCTCCACGTAATCGCACTCCGAAGGCAACCGCGGGTGGTCCATCAAGTTCAAACATTCCTGCACCTGCTTTCCAGATCTTGAAGCGACAAGATTCAACTGACAACAAGCGCAAGATGGACGAGAGAAGCAGCAATGATAGTCCTGGCCAGGTTTTCTCTAAGCGTAAGCTTGGATCTCCTGCTGTATCCTCTGGGCCACCTACACCACTCCCTGATGGGCGTACTCAATTGGAGGCTTTGATTGGAATCGGTGCCCCAAGCCCAGCTTCAGCTTCCAATGGCAAAGGCAAGGAAACTGTTAGCCATGCTCTTGAAGAAGTCGGTGATGTAGTTGAAAACCAAGTGCAAGAAGCTTTAGCTCGTGCCGAACAGGAAGCAACTACTGCTGAAATTGAGAAGGACTTGCGGAGCATGCTTGCTGCTGAAACCGAGACACAGTTCGAGGATCGTGCACAAGTCGCTGCTACAGCTATCAAGAAGGTGCTTGACAAGGACGAGACTGTTCTTGATGATTTGCCTACTCCAATTGCTAATGAAGTCAAAGAAATCATTGAC